TGCTTGAAAGAAAAATGTTAGAGAACACTGACAAATTGCTAACTAATGTAAAATTAAAAACAGCCCGTCTTGCCCAAGTCATGATAGATGCTGCTTTTAAAGTAGACAAAAAATCAAACTTGGAGTACTGCTTATGCACAAGTTCAATTATCATTGAATATGCATTTTTCCCAAGTAATAAACAATGTTAAAAATAGAGAATAGCCCCCTGGCTTAAATAATCATGAGATGCCTGCAACATTTAAGAAAAATAGCCCTATCAAAGTACCTAAATTACCACTTGAGAAAGCTGTAATAAGAGAAAATGTTCATTCCTGATACAGGAAGTAAAAGCTAAAAACTAAACCACTGCTTATTTGCTAAACATGAGGCTAAGAAAAAAATGCCTTTGAAACTAAAATCTGCATCGCCCCATATAGCAGGTGTAGACATGCCACAGTTAAAAAACTAGAATGAAGTAAAAAAATAAGCTGCAAAGCCTTGAAGCAAAGGCTTGTCAAAGCACTCAGTGCTCCTTGTTCGAGAGGGTGGGCGAATCATCAGCCTAGCTGTCAACGTGCCTGAGCCATGTGAATAGCATGATGTAATCTGTACTATTCGTGTATCACCAAGTGTCACCTCAACTACGTAGCTAACCATCTTAAGCATCATAGTATTCTGTATTGCCCTAGTGGCAACAGCTAAATAGTGTCTTAATCGTTGTTGTCGTAAATCTGTTCATGCTATGCAAGTTAAATTTATAAATCCTTCCCATTTCCCAATGTAGCATATTTAGGTTTAGCATCTCAATTATAGCTATCATAGTGCTTCAACAAGCAAAGAGTAGAGTGTGACAGGTGAAATTATGTCTGTGTAATAAAAGTGCTTGCTGAAGGCTCTATGAAGATTGGACCAAGTATTTTCCTGTATTCGTTTAGCTATTAAGCTGTATGTTGTTGCTAAAAGCCTAATTAAAGTTTAAGATGTAGTGAAGCCTTGTATAAAGTAAAGCCTAGTAAATTTAGCAAAGCCTAGAAGTAATAAAGCCCTGTGGCACAGTTAAAATTACCTTATCAAACGAATGAAAGCCTTGTACTGCTATTGGTCAATCTAAAGACGGTTGAAATAAAAAGAATCTGAGTAGTCGTTCATTATCAGAACCATTCAGAAGCTATAAATTAGCTAGAATATCTAGAAACCATTCAGAAAGAAAATACAGCTCTGTGAAACAGATTAGTTAGCTGTTGCCTAGATCACTGGGCCCGTGGACCTTGAAGAGCCCAAGAACTGCATTCCAGGGTTCTTCCCGGTACCCCTTGGACAGCGCTGATCGGAGACGCCTGACTTCGCTAAACTTTGTAGAAAGAGAAGCTTGCTGTGTATCAGGTATCAGAAGGAACTGCTGATAAGTTGCCGACATGAATTGCTTTTGTCTGTTATTGTTTGCCTTGTTACTACACGTAGTTGTGTTTTTGTTAAGTCAATAAATCTTTCTTACCTCTCTACCCACGACCACACTCTCAATCCCTGAACCCTCCCCAGGTGGCTGAAACAACTGTCTCTCACCCCATTCTCATTAAAAAACTAGGGGACTGTGGCATCGACACCGACACAGTCAAATGGGTCACTAACTGGCTGGAGGGCCACACCCAGAGAGTGGTGGTGGACGGGTCTTATTCGACCTGGAGGGATGTGGGCAGTGGGGTCCCCCAGGGCTTGGTCCTTGGGCCTGCAAAGTTCAACATCTTCATCAGCGACTTGGACAAGGGTGTAAAAAGCACCCTGTTCAAATTGGCAGATGACACTAAGATGTGGGGGGAAGTGGGCACACTAGAAGGGAGGAATAGGCTGCAATTGCACCTAGACAGCTTACAGGGGTGGGCGGATGAGAACAGGATGAGTTTCAACACTGACAAGTGCAAGGTACTGCACCTGGTGGGGAAGAACCAGCAGCATACCTACAGGCTGGGGAACTCCCTTCTCGTCAGTGCAGAGGCAGAAAAGGATCTTGGAGTCATAATTGATGCCAAAATGAACATGGGCCGACAGTGTGGGGACACAGTCAGGAAAGCCAACCGTACCTTGTTATACATCCACAGATGCATCTCAAGCAGGTCCAAGGAGGTGATCCTCCCCCTCTATGCATCACTGGTCAGGCCACAGTTGGAGTACTGCGTCCAGTTCTGGGTGCTGCACTTCAGGAGGGATGTGGACAACATGGAGAGGGTCCAAAGGAGGACCACCCGCATGATGAGGGGGCAGCAGGGCAGGCCCTATGAGGAAAGGCTAAGGACCTGAACCTGTTCAGCCTCCACAAGAGAAGGCTGAGGGGGGACCTAGTGGCTGTTTACAAACTAGTCAGAGGGGACCAGCAGTCATTGGGGGAGTCCCTGTTCCCCCAAGCACTACCAGGAGTGACAAGAAATAATGGCCACAAGCTGGCAGAGGGTAGATTTAGATTAGACACCAGGAAGTGCTACTTCACTGTCAGGGTGCCTAGGAACTGGAACCATCTTCCAAGACAAGTGATGCTGGCTCCTACCCTGGGGGTCTTTAAAAGGAGGCTAAATGAACACCTTGCCGGGGTCATTTGATCCCAGTACTCTTTCCTGCCATGGCAGGGGGTCGGAGTTGATGATCTGCTCAGGTCCCTTCCAACCCTACCAGCTATGAAACTATGAAACTATGAAATGGCACACCTGGAAGCAAAAAACTCTGGAGCAATAAGCTCTGGAGTTTATTCATGTGCACTAATTGCATGTGTAGACATGCTCACTGAGTCACAGGTGACATAAACTTGGAGGACTAGTCAGTGTTAGGACATCTGTTCTTGATAAAGGGATCAGAGGTCTCAAGGTCTGAGGAAAGACTAGAGGTTTTACTTGTGGTTTGTAATTTGCACATTTGTTTATGCTGTTCCTTGCTTTGTTTGCTGTGGGGATAAGTTTTCCATTAGTAAGGTAAATGGACTGGAAACTGGAACTAAGAGCAGACTGACCTTTATGAGTAAGCTGGTAGGGCTGTGCGAAGCTTCAGTAGCTGATTCGATTTGGAGGAGATTCGGCCTGATTTGAGGACCAAATCTCTGAATCTGAATTGAATTGGGAGATGAGTTAAAAGCTCTGAATTGATTTGAAGTATCTGAATCGATTTGGAAAAAGATTCAGAAAAGATTTGGCCATAGACTAAACAGGCAGCTGACACGGCTGCCTCCCGCTGGTAAGTCTGTTGGGGTTGGGGGAAGGGAAAGGGCATGGGGGAGGGAGGAATTGGGGCTGGGAAAAGCTGCTCAGCTGGAGTGGGGGGCATAGGACTTGGGGAGGGGGAGAGGGGGTGTGGGATGCCCAGCTGGGGTGGGAGACAGGTGGGATGCGGGCACAGCTCGCTCCGTGTGAAAGGGAGCAAGCAGCAGCAGGGCATAGCCCCCAGTCCCAATGATGCCATGCCCACCACCTGCACCCCTCCAAGCCAGCTGGCTAGCAGCGACAGCACAGAGTCCTTGCTCCCAGCGCTGATGCAGGTGCAGCTGCACTGGGGGCAGGGGCTCTGCCCTGCTGCCAATTGCCCAGCTGGTGAGGGGTGGGAGAGGGGCATGATGCTGGCATGACTCACTCTGGGCTGAAGGGGGCAAGCTGCAGCAGG